GAAAGCATTGTAATGTTTACTGATAATCTCCTAAATTTCGTTAACCTACACTTACTAATTTAAAAGTAATAGCATGAAAACTATAACAAGCACAAAATGATTACGAGTTCTGTCCCAGGGACCAAGCCATGCTGAAAGAGTTAATTAAACATGGTTCAAAAAGCAATAAGATTAAGCATAAACAAATGTAATCTGTTACAAGCCTTAAGCTATTTATGATAAACAGTTTCCTGTTACCATATGCAGTCATTCTAGAAAGAAAAAAAAGGATAATTTAGATTTATTTTGTATTTTTGTTATGGTGGTTACAAAGTTAGACAAATCAATTGAGTCCACATACAATTAGGGTAGAGAAACTATCAGAATAAAGTATAAAGTTTAACTGAAAAAAAAATTGATATTTATTTAGGAGGTTTTAGTGGTTACACAAATGCATTTTGAAAATTTTAAGATGAAGTATTTTTAATATTAACATGAAAATCACTTTGCACTCAGAGCAGTCAACATTTTCGCTCCATATATTCACGGACAAACCTTTAGTAAAAATACTTAAATATCAAAAAAATCAACTATTTTTCTGTACAAAAAACATGTAATATTTACTGCAAGTTTGCCAAATTTCATGAAGATACGTGAAACATTTTAAAAGTTATAGTATAGAAAATCTGATAATTACTTTGAGGTCATAAGATTAGTGGAATCCATCGACCCTGTAGCAAGAGAGATAAAGGATATTTTCATGGCTATGTCCATTGTTATAGGGTTTTCTTTTTTGTACTAAATTGTGGATGACTAAAATAAAGGTTTAATGGTTTTTCACTTTAACTTGCATTTTTTTTCAACTTTGCTTAGTGTTTTTTTTTTATGTTTTTTCTTTTTCATTAATGTTTTTAATTTGTAAGACAATGTTAAAGGGTTTACTTTTGTCATTTAATTGCAGTTCAATATTAACCTTATAGTCACGGGCAAATCCATTTAGCATAGCTCATATGGAGAATCATACACAGTGCAATTATATTTATGATAACTCTGAGCTTTCTTAATGTATCTTCATAACCATTGGTAAGATTTTGTTAAAGATTACAAGTATTTTATACATAAAGAATGAGCTTATTTTAATTAAAAGAGATATTTTTATATTCTAGTTATTTGCACTCAGACTCTGAATATTTCAAGTATTATCACAACATAGTATGCAGTGAAATATCTAAAATTAAAAATAGAAAAATATACCTACCTTTTAATTTTTTGTTGAATAATCTGGACATTTTTTTTCTGTTATATTCTTAATTGTAAGTTTTTACTTTTTCACAAAAAGTTAATTTTTGATGTTTTATTTTCCTTTCCTATCCTCTAGCATTATTACTTATCATGAGACACATCAACGGGTGTTCTCTGGGCATCCTCAACAGCAACACTTTAACCATCGTCAGAACATTGGGACATTTGCCTACTACACTAAGCCTGATAAACCAAGGCAGTTTAGCTTATATTTTAAAAAATGATTAAACCTTTCGATTATGCACTTTAAAACATAACTAACGCATAATTAACTAAAATATAAAACTGAATAAAATTTAATTGTCTATCTAGCTAATAGATTTATAGGTGAGAAACAACTATAAAGCATTAGCAAGTAGAAAATCAAAAACAATGTTAAGTTCTCTATAAAATTCTTTGTGTCAATTTTAAACTAACTGTTAGAAGATAGTATTTCAAAATGTGGTCTTTATAACTAAGTATAATTGGCCAAGAAATTGCAACTCTATGTGTCAAAAGTGGGTGTGGCACCTGTCAAGAAATATATTTCTCTTTTCTACCAACTTCCCCTTAGGAGTTTGAAAGAATAATGTGTAAACAGAGCAATTAACCTAGATACTTTCTCTCTCTCTCTCTCTCTCTCTCTCTATATATATATATATATATATATATAGTTATTATACTACTAACTATATTCTATAGTATACTAACTACGTAGTAGTTACGTTAACGTTACGTAGTAGTTAGTGTCATACTAAATAAGTAAGTTAAGTTA